CACGGACTTTCCCCTTGCTCTGAAACTTAAAAATGTTTATTAGGATTAATGTTTTGACTCCTAAAACACCTGTACATATACATGGAATATCCAGTGTCCATAATTCAGTCATGAGATATCCAAAATCCTGTACAAAATTTTTACATGGGATATCCGAAATCCAGTCAATACTCGCACCCAAGACGTATTCAGTCCCGGAATTTTAAAAATTTTCGAAATTCCGCACTTGCTAGTGCGTATTTTGCCCCAGAAAAGTAGCTTTACTTCACTTGGGGATTTTAATTTTATGGAATCAGAAGGGATACCCCTCAGTCAATTCGACAACTACTTAATAAACTCTACGGTTACAACAACAGAACTCTTAGGATGCTTCGTTAACGTGTTTCTACTGAGGTACAGCCATTTCAGGATTCAAAAAGCACCCCACCGTCTGCAATCACATTTCTCTTATAGCTTACTGCTGGGGCGTTATTCATCATTTTCCAATTTTAAGATTTTTTTCAAAAGGCATCATGTTGGTAATCTGACAAAGAAAGATTCGGGGATGAGTTTGAAAGGTTCTGTTTTGCTGATTACGCTTTATTTTTTTGCCCCCTCAAGCAACGTTTATTTTTTTAGTGGTGGTTCACGCGCAAACATCAAAATGGGACACAGGCAAACGGCGAGGAGAGAATGAATGGCGAGATTCGTCCAGCAATTGAGCGATCACACAGTGGCGCAGGTGATGGCCCCGCTGTTGCTAAGGTATATAATTGATGAACCATTATTGATATTAGAACAGAAAATGATTTGCATTATAGCCGTTGTGTTCTTTTTATTACCACAATAGCCAGATTAGGCACAGGAGGGACATCATGTTGGTAAATGCTCTAATTTTTAAGCGTTTTTGCCGTGCAGCGTTATAGTGCTGCAACAGGCAGCAGAAACGCATATTGCGATGACCCCGTGTGTGTGTATATATGTGTGTGTGCATGTGCGTGTGTGTGTGTGTGTGCGTGTGTGTGTGTCTGTTTGTGTGTGTGTTCTAGTATTTCAGTTCGCCAACCACGCAAGCTTTGATGCTGAAATCTTGCCAGTGTTTTCCCTGGCAATAAGCGATCCCAAGAACGTGATATCAACTGTTACGGATATCTACGTCTCATTTTGGAACATGTGAAAATTTTAGCGAGAAAATTGCTAACTCGGGAACGAAG